CTTCCCATCCCCCCTAACCCCACAACCCCACCCGTAAATATATAACTCACCCAAGGTCTTGTGGTTAGAGTTATACTTGAGTCTCAGTCCCTCCTGCGCCCTATGGACGGTGCCGTCAAACGCGTCCAGCCAGGTCCGGTACTCGTACAAGACCACGCCCACTCGGCGGTCCAGCAGGTGGTCAGACGACATGAACTTGCCCGAGATGAAGCCACACACCAGGTGGGCGAACGAGATCATATTGGGCGTGATGAAGCTGTCCGGGGGAAGACAGGGGAGAGGGATTGTGGGGAGGGGGGGTTGTGAAAGGAGGTGGGGGAAGAGGACGGAGAGTGAGGAGAAAAGAGAGGGGAGAAAAGGGAGAGTGATGAGAAAAGAGAGGGGAGAAGAGAGAGAGAGTGATGAGAAAGGGGGGGGGGATACAGGGGATGGTAGGGGGCCGAAGGATAGAAAAAGGTGAGGAAGGGGATGGAGGTGATAGAGAGAGGTGAAGAAAAAAATATGTATATCACAAGGTGATAAACGAAGTGAGATAATAAATATTAGTTGTTAAATGTTGAAACACGACTGTTTTTTTAGCTCATTGGCAAAAGTATTCTAGGGAAGGTAAGGCTCAAAGAAATGGAAGGGGGGATAAAATATTAACAGTCAAAGAACGTAACGCCCAGCAGCACTGCCTTTACTCACAACTTTCGTCCAAAGATCACGTGTGGGTATTTGTGCTGTTGCGGTTAAGGGCTCTTCTTCGAAACAAGCAGGAGACCTGAGTCCGATTCTCGCGCTAGGGGTAGCTAGGTAATTAACTTATCGACTATGATCGAAACATCCTGCCCCCTGAACTAGCTAAATTATGGTCGATGGAGCATGCAAATAACGTTGTCTCCCCCCCCCCCTTCCCCCCACCTACTCTCGCAACCACACACACACCCCTTTTTATCTCCTATAAAGAAATTTTAAAAAGCGAAAGGCTAACATTAAAATGTAAAAAAAAAAATTATAGATTCAAAACCCTGAAAGAATATTTTTTTTAAAGAAAAGAAAAAATCTTACCTGAAAATGGAGCTAAAGTGAGTGATCATATCAAAGTATTCCGTACTGGGGGCTATGAAGAACTGACTTGGGTGATCATTGAGAAGCCCCTTGACTGATAGATGTGTGAAAGGTGTGTATATCTCTCCTTTTTCTATGGACCCGCTAGTAGACGAGGACAGGTCAGCTGACCGGAAGTGGCTGAACAAGATGGCGTCCATGGTCAAGAAGTAAGTCAGGAGAGCGGCAGCGGCGCAGATCCACAGTCTCCTGGGGATGGGGTAGTTGGGGGGATTGTGACGTATATTGTTTGTTTAAACACTACAGAGAAGTCTTGCACCACCTAGTCCCAGTACTTTACATTTCTTTTCCCCTTCTCAACACAAACGCCCGTACATAATAACATACATGTAGTCTTTATACACACCCACGCACTTATAAATCACCAAAAACATCACACATAATACGCATTCAGACCAGTGGCGGTGGGTGGACCAAAATTTGGGTGGGGCTTAGGTTTCTTCCAGTTTTTTACCACCAAATAGCAAGCAATAAGAATTAAACAATGATGGTTTTTCTATACTCACGGTGAGTCACGGCAGTTTGAGAACCATTCAAACGAGAAGAGTTGCCTTTGTTTTCAATTTCTTTGTTCTTAGTTAAATTCTTGTTGATGGTGGGGACGAAACCGATTCACCTCCAAATTTCCTCTAATTAGTTTTCGTGTCATGAAAAAATTATAACTGTTAAATCTCAGCAGCACAAACACAAACTTGCACACACAGCACTTCAAACATAATACTTCTATGAACTGGATTAGGCCGTGTAGTCGAGAAACTTGAACGCACCCAACAAAGAACCAATGAGCGCATAGGTAGGCCTATCTGTGTCAGTAGGGGAAAGTGTGTCGAAAACTTTCACCCCATTGTCAGGGCTAGGAGAGCGTGAGCCCTCGGTACACTGTTATTTTTTCCCAGTCTTCAACCTTTTTATAAGAAGAGTTTCATTAAGGACGGACTGTGGGAAAAGGGCTCATCTTTGCTGAGCCCTAAAGACATTTGATTGGCTGCTGGGTTACTATAGTTGTAAAGGGGACAACAGTGATTGGATAAGCGAGCAAGCCGGCAGGTTGATCGCTCTGTGTTCATTGCGTGCGGTCATAACGGGTTCAACTGCTTATTTCATTATGGAGAAACTTTCATTTACTTTGGGATAGAGTTGGAGGTGGTGGTTGGGGAGGGGGTAGGGGCTCAAGCCCGTAAGCCCTTCACAACCCACCGCCACTGGTGGGGGATGGCCTAGGGAAGGAGAAGAAGAAGGAGGGTTGTCACTAAGGTTGTGGGGCGGGGTTGGGGAAAGAGGAACAGAGGTTAGTTACTGTGGTGGTAGGGAGGGGGTGGGGTGAGTGGTTTAGTAACAACGCGGGTGGGGGAAGGGGGTGAGGGGGTTAGTAACTAGTGTGGTGGGGAGAGGGGGTAGTATCTATTTTTGTGGGGATATGGGGGGGTGGGAAAGGAGATGAAGGGGGTGAGCAACAACTGTGGGGTGGAGGGAGGTTGGGCGAAGGGGGAGAGGGGTTGGTAACTATTGTGGTGGGGAGAGGGGGTGGAAGTGAAGGTCTAGGGCGGGATTAAAACTCTGGTACTGGGTTGAGGAGGCTTTGAGTGATAAGCAGAGCTAGTGGAGGGAGGAGGATAGAGGCTAGTGGTGGGCGAGGTGAGGGAGGAGGAGGAGGGAGGGAGAGGGAGGGGAGGGGAGGGTGGAGGGGAGAGGAAGGTGGTGGAGAAAAGGAGGAGGAGAGGAGGGGGAGAGGAGAAGGGGAGGGGAGGGTGGAGGGGAAAGGATGGGTAAGGTATGTGGAGATGAGGGAGAAGGGAGCAGAGGGAGCAGAGGGAGGAGGGTAGAGGATGCTTGTGGAGGAGGGGAGGGCATGAGGATAGACGGATGATGGGGGAGACAAGCAGAAAAGTTGGAGAGCAGAAGGAGGAGAAAGCTGTTAATGTATATGTGAGGCAGCGTGGTGGAATCAGGCTCTCGTCAATTTTTGGGCATGTAGAGTTATTGGTATAGTCTTAAAGGATGTTCACTTGTGTTTATTGGGATGAAACAAATATCCATTTATCTTGAATACAAGTCGAGATATTTGCGATTGAAGGAGGTGGGGGTCACCTGTTTTCAGAGGTAAGATTAGTGAGAAAATGGCCGCCAAAGATTAGTTAAATCCTTATCTTAATAATCCGTGGTAACTGAAATTTTACATTTTTTTGTGCCTTTAATAACGTTTTTCAAAAAAATTCACACAGAAATGAGTTCTTTAATGGGCATGAAAGGTGTATTGCCAAAGGACAAAAATTTGATAAAAATTCACAAACCAACAGGAAAAAACAAGTTTCTTCACTTTGATTATTTTGACGAGAGCCTGATTCCACCACGCTGCCTCACATATCTCAATGGAGAGGGAAAGACTTGGGATATAGGGGAAGGAGGTGGTGAATGCGAGGGAGGATGAGGAAGAGGGGGGAGGGGGGAGGTAGGTGATGGGGAGATGGGGAGGGAAGGGAGGAAGGGAGGGGAAGGTGTGTGAATAAACATAGAGTTTAGGAGGGTACGAGGAAGACGAAGGGGGTGAAGTGGGGTGGGGAGGGGTGTGGAAATAAAGCTGGGGAGTAGTGAGGTTGGGGAATGGGGTGAGGATGTGATGTTGTCGGAGGGGGAGCTTGATGGAAATGGGAAAAGGGGGCGGGGGGTTAGGGACGATATCCGATTGGGAGGGGAGGGATGCTGGAGTTTCTAATATCTTCCTTCTTTTATCTGTCAGGCTCCGAACGTTGATTGTTTTAGAAGGGAGAGTGGGAAGCAGTTCACAAGAGAGTGACAAACATACAAAGGAAGTAGAGGAAAATGACGATAGTAAGGATAAGGAAAGAAAAGGCAGCGTTTCCCCCTATGTTGTTCCGGCACAGTTAAGTTATGAGCATTACATTGATAAATAAACCTATTTAGAGTTCTACTGTGCATAAGAACATGTTAATGTCCCCCTTTGGGAAAGGCCTAAAGACAACTTCAATCAGTACTTTAAGCTCATGATAAAATTCATAATAATCATCATCATCACCATTGTCTTTCTCACCCTGGATCAGGATATAGGCCACGAACAAACACTTTCCACCTTTCCCTATCCTGGGCTAGTTGCTTGATGTCACTCAATATCTTTCCACTTTTCTGTACACCCATTTCCGTGACTCTTCTCCAGGTTCCACGTGGTCTTCTCTTTAATCTTTTACCCTGCAGGTTCCAATCTAACTCTTTCCTTGTTATGCAGCTGTTGACCCTCCTGAAAGTGTATCAAATCCATCGCAAACGCTTTCTTCCCACCTCATCTCTGACTGGGCTCTGTCTCGTTCTTCTTGCTACTTCCTCGTTGGTGATCCTGTCTGTCCACATGATCCTCAGTAACTTCCGTAACTCAGCCACCTCAGTAAAACTTGTTCAAAAAAACCTGGATCATCTTTATGCAAGTCGGGGGGATACTTCTAGAGGTAGTTTATCACTTCGGTAACTCAGAATTACACATTTCTGTCCGTTCGACAATTAGTTTTAAGAAATGTGAACGTCAAAATTTTAAGCTTTCCGATATATTTTATGTCAAGCTTTTCGAATGTAATTCTTTAAGTAGCTTGATAACGACTCACAATACTCTTACGATTTTGAAGAGCAGATCGAGCATTTAATTTTGGTTTCTGACCTTATGGTTTTAGTAACTCAAAACGGCCAAAAATGTCAGAGAGAACTTTGTAATTCTGAGGTAGTGACTTAGTTGTGGATGGGTTTGGAGCAAATAGATGAAATTATGGGTGGATAGATATTGAGAACGGGAGAAAGAATAAGGCATACAAACAGATAGACTGACACACAGGCAGACAGACAGACAAACAAACAGACAGACAGACATACATATAGACAGACAGACAAACAGACTGACTGACAGACTGGCAGACAGACAGGCAGATAGACAGACACATTGAAAGAGAGAGAAACAGACAGAGAGACACACAGAGAGAGAGAGAGAGAGAGAGAGTGTGTGTGTGTGTGTGTGTGTGTGTGTGTGTGTGTGTGTGTGTGTGTGCTGATGTGTGTGTTTGAGAGAAAAAGAGAGATAGTAAGTTAGAGA